GCTGGAGTACTGCTGCAGGTGGTAAAGGCCAGTTCCTGCGATCGAAATAGCAACCACAGTGCGGGAGTATTTGAACAAGGCGAACTGCATAAAATCTTAGCGACAGAACGAGGTAGTCTTTCATGCGTCATTAGGTAAGGGTTTTTTTTAAGCTGATATGAGAGTCATGGTTGTTTTTTGTGATTAAATGCTTCTGCGGTTTTACGAGCATGATAATTGTTTCCCAGAAAATGTAAAAAAGGAAGCAATCGTATCAATAGCAGTGCTGTTACCAGTGCGGCGAGATACGGTATTGGCACTCGTAAAGACGACTCAACACCGATAACACATCAGCACCTTATGGTTCGGAGCCATATCAGCCTTATATTTGTGGGGATACTTTAAGGACACGGATAACACTTTTGAGCAACCAAAAATTATGATCAGCAAAATGGACGATGAACTGCTAGTTAATGGTTAAAGAACTCTGTTGTCAAGATGGTCTAATTTCTACTAGTAAACTCTCCATGTATTTTTTTTTTGCACAGGAAAATGACATTGGCATTCTTTTTTAATATCATGAATCCATGTTGGGGCAATATCTAAATTATTATTATTGTTTTTTTTTTTTAATGAATGATTTGTACCTGGAATGCCCATTTCTTATCAGCAAAACCGATACACCCCTACCATGTCTTGGTGTGACGTCAACGTAGGAACTGGAGCCACGTAGTACTCTTCTTATTCTACTACTACACTTACCAGGGATAAGGTGGCCATCGGGAATTTCAGGAGATTCCCTAACGGCAGAGCCAACAGCTGCATGAACTGTGTTCAGGTACAGATTCTGAATTACAGTGAGTGTGTTGATATATTTCTGGACAATATTTTTGTTCTTGTTTTGGTTTCTTAGTGTTGTCATGTTATGACAAGTTGTCACTAAAAACGGTTTCGAGGTGGCTCTTGTTTGATGTCACATTTGATTATTACTGGTGACAGGTAGACGGATTAGACCGTTGACTGGATATGGTTTAGGTTTAGCATTCCAGCATTTTCTTGGCACTACACGAATGATGATGATGTTTAGAGTTATGCTTCTTAAAGTGCATGCTCTTTTGTGTTGTGTTTTAGCCTACTAAATTATCCAGAATATAGTTTTCCATTTTTTATCCAGTTGAGGTTTATTTGTGCTTTTTTAATATGCTTATCATTGGCTAATCCCTAAATCAAATCTACTTATGTCGTCCTACTTTACATTCTTGTGACAATAAAAGAGGGAGAGTGATGTCAAATAGTTAGTTCTGATGCATATTGGAGTCTCACATGCATAAAAAATGTCATTTCATTCAATTCATTTGATTCCTGCTGTTTGCAATTTCAAATGGCTGATTTGATGATTTTACATCATCAAAATGAGTTTGTTGCAATGCTTAAGTTTTTATTTCGTAATACATTCATACTGATCATTTTGGTGATACTGTCATAATCAGGATTTTAAGTTTTCCTATTATTTCTTCTCTAGTAACAAATGTCACTTTTTATCAAGCAAAAGACTAACAGTAATTATTACAAGGCCATTGCTAGTTTTGTGGTACACATTGCTCACATTTGGACAGCCGGCGTGGAATCAATTCGCACTCAATCAAGTCAAGTCACAATCATCATGTGATTTACCGGTGCCCTGCAAATGGGTAAAGGACGCATCCCGGGAGCCAACACACAGCTATCTGATACAGACTCTGAAGTACTGACCAGAGAAAAGCTCCGAGTCTGACTAATTACTAGGGCGCTATTTCTCAGAGGGAATTCCTCTCACTGCGATGTGGAGCGAGACCGGTCATGTTTCCAAACAGCAAGACCATCTAGAAGCATTTGTTGACAAGTGTGGTTGACAAGTTGGGAAATAAATACTCACCGCTGGTTGACTTTATATATCCGCGGTGTGCCACTGAGAAAAATGATGGGCCATATACAGTTCAACATCTACCAGACCTTATAGCAAATAAATATATTTGACACAATTCCAAATCATTTGCAATTACCCAGGGGGCACACGTTTGACAGGATGACAGCTCTCCCTCTTGGGGCAACATGCATGGAACCAAGAGTAGCGCAAGGTCATGACCAACGCAGTATTTGGCCTTGGAGCCTGCATCAGAGTAATGCTTGACATTCTTCTGCAGCCTCACCCCCGCCTTCAAACTTCTTCAGTGAGACTGCAGGCTCCTTTTTAACCAACAATCAGCCTTTTCACTAACTCAAGGCAGCTATGACTCCAAATGTATCCTGGAGGTGTTTCACACAACAAGGCAACACAAAAAACGCGGCCCAACATCCTACCAATGAAACTATTCAAGTGTTTGACAGCTTCACTTTATTGTGAAAGGGAACCAACATGTGAGCGTTTCATTCATATATAGCAGACGGATCAGCTAGTGAAAAAGAAATCTCAACAAAATTAGGACGTTCAAAAGTTCCAAAGTCAGAGGTATGGATTGAGGAGGTGGTTGGTTGTTTCTGCACAGAAAATAAAAACAACTTGTAAAGTACAGTTACCAAACCATAGCACAAATCCTCGCTTGGTTAACCCCTCCTCCAAAAGGGTTTGCAATTGAAGAGAGATGCCACAAAATGATGGCAAATGGCTACTTTCCGTCGAAATAATGTTGCTCCACTCACATTGTTTCTTTGACACCAAGATGCCACTGACGCCAAAGCAATACTGTGATACCTTGGCCCTGAGCATGAAAACAACAAAAGGTGCGTTTTCAACCATAATGGAGGTTTATGAAAAAAAAAAGAAAAAAAAATCAACAAATTTGCAAATGCTGAGCCGCACTGTACATCCTTCCATATGTTTGAAGGTGGGTGGTATATTCAAGTCACAGGCTTTTTTCATGCCTATGTGGTTAACCACTGACTCAAATCGCTGCTGAATAAACCTGCCTTCAAGGCCCAAATTTCCCCTTGAAGGCATTGTCATTTCTGCCTTAAACCAACAATCGATCATGAATACAGAAGCAATGCGACAACATCAACACAGCAGTCAGGGAGACGGTGTGTGTGCTGTTAAAAATTTCACAGCGCGAATGCATGCTCTAATGCTCCTAACTGGTACATAGAGCAAAGGTGCTTTAACTCTGCGTCCATCTGTCAGACTGCACATAGAAGATGAGACGCGCATCAGGTTAAAACCTTCCTGTATAAATTAAATAAATAAACACCCTATTCATGTCTGGATGTGTAATTTGCCACATTAACGGCCATCTAACTTAACTAGCACTATATGTTTTTCAAAGAACGGCTTTGACATAAAACATTGACATTTCTCGGGGGCGGCGAGATGAAAGGTGCATTCAGATACCGTCGGACATTTCAAACTCAAAACGGAAAAAAAGTCCCTCGAGGCAGGAAATGTTAAGAGCTACAAGTCTCAAAATAAGTTGGGCTTTCTATCAATAAATCACAACTGAAAAATATCAAGAATAATGTGAGTGAAATCACTTTGCTATTTTACTAAATTACAATCAATGGTACATCTTGTAATTTATGTTGCGCTACCTAATCAAATCAATCGGCTTCCATCCTTCAGTCTAGTGCAGGGGTCACCAACGTGGTGCCCACGGGCACCAGGTAGCCCGTGAGGACCACACCAATAGCCCGCCATTGCTAGGACTGTGATTTGCTCGTAGAAATTATGATTCAAAAATGCAAACACGGGCAGTATTGTGAGACATTTTTAAGATGATCAGAGCCTGAAAATTAAAATCATTAAAAATAACACATTCTAATATTATTAAATGTAATTTGTACAAATGTTATTTCAGACGTGTATCAATTTGGTAGCCCTTCACACAATCAGGACACATGAAGTAACTCTCACCTTCAAAAAGGTTGGTGACCCCTGGTCTAGTGGTTGGAATGTCAAACGGTAAATATTCAATTAGATTTTATACTCCCCAAAGGCTTAAATAAGAAACAACAACTATATTTTGGTGCTCTAAGACTTTGTTAAGTCCTGCATGTGAATAGAAATATTAGTAGTATGTAAAAATTGTTGAATGTTTTTCTTGTACATTATAAAGTGTTGTAAAACGAGACGACTATACATCAGCAAATAAGGTCAAGCTGTGCAGCTCCAAAAAAGGGTGCGACCAAGTCTGTGCTGGTGCGACCAACTGAAAAGGTTTGTAGCACCAGTGCTTTCCAGTGCAAAAGTTAGAGTAGAGCCCTGAGCAAAGACATCACTTTAGAAGCTCATGTTACCAGTGCTGTACTGAATAACCAGACCCACATCACGCTACTTTTCCAGTAATGCAAACTTTGCTTTAAAGCTATTTGTGTTATTACATTTTGATATTACTGTAATCTCAATGTATGAGCCTTTTTTTTCAATATTTATGCGCGTTGCACAGGCTCATCAGTAAAACAAGTCTCATCGACTGGCTGTTGCATTTGAAAATTTCATAATTACGATTTGTACAGGATTTTTGAAGGCAGACGCAATTAATCTATTTCGAGTCTTTTTTTTTTCTTGTGAAGACAGCCAAGAAGGGGACAGTAGGGCCTGTTGGCTCGCCCACCTCTCCACGCATAACCAGCAACTTGGTGAAGCGAAAGTTGACGAGTTATCATCAAAAGGTCAGACAAATACGGCAGGTCTGCAGTCCGGAGAAAATTCGATTTGAAAGAACACATTGTATGAGTTATTAACATGATAAACAGCTGACGTCCTAACTTGAGGTAGTTTTAAAAGGTAAATGCTAGCGATGACCAGCCGCTAGGATAACACTCTTAGAATTGCCGCAGAAACATCAAACCGCTAGAGTATAATTTCAGATGTCACATGCGAGAAAGGTTACGTTCAGTGCAAAGTTTGCTCCTACACTGGATTGCGTCTCAAAGTGAACGGAGAAACTTTTCCTTGTCACGTTGACTCCTCCGCCCTGCTTGCGCCGCCACTTTGGCTTCCCAATCCCGAGCACGACCCTTTCCCAATGCAGCTTGAGGCTGCAACTCACCCAGGTCGTCCATGCTGACTGAGTGCCCGTTTCGACCCGTGTCACTCAATGCTCCAAAGTCCCTCAAACACTATGGACCAAGTGTGGGCTTTTCCTCTGCAAACTTCACCGCCGATTCACCGCTGGAAGTTGGTCAGGGTCGTTCACGTGAACGCGCAAACTGTGTGCGCGCTATACGTGTACTTTGCTGGACGGCGCGCGTGGAACTTGGAGCGACATCTAGTGGCTAGGTGCCTGCACTTGATTTGAGTATGCATTTTTATGAAAACTTTTACCTTTTATTCCCTCGGGGGTGCGTGAACCGCTAAAACAGCTTCTGGCGTTCCAAAATGATCTCATTAGAAAAGAATAATAATACCCATACAAGTAGGTGTTTGTTATGATTAGCTTACTGCATGTAGCATTTGTCGTTACTCGGATCAGAACATCCACAACGGTAGGCAAAAGAATTTTGTAAACCATTGTTGACAATATAAAAATCGCGCCTCCGGTGTTTTTAATGTTGGTCATGATGATGCTACTCAGCGAGCTAGAATTTTTTTTTTAGGTGGTACTTACTCTGAAACGTTGGAAAATCACACAAAAAATAAATTCATTTTTGGAAGGATTGCAGCTAGCAGAATCTAATTGTGCAAACTATCTAAATCTGACATGATTGGACAACAGCATATTAAACTTTTTAAGGATCGGCAACTCCCTGCAGAACTTCTGCAGTGTCATGGGAAGTTCACAACCACTAAGTCCCAAGATTGCTCAAGAGGCGGGTGTATAGAGTGCTGTGTTTTTGTGACTTATTGGCAACATACACTGACACACAAAGAGTTCAAGTCTTTCAATACAAAAACAGAGACCAAATGCAAGATAGTGTTTATTACTGTTACAAATAATTAATACAATACCATCGTGTGAAAATCATAGATGACATCATAGGGACCCGGGAGGTTTAAAAAAATATATACTGGAACAATTATTGATTGTCATTTCTTGTGCTACTCCAACTCCAACCAAGAATGTAAAAAAAAAAAATGGAAAGAATTATTATGATATAGCTGAGAGCTGATCATGGGTACTAATTGTAGTACAGAGCAGTTATAATCTAAGGGGTACTAATCAATACAAAAAATCCAGAACAAGAACAAACATTAAGCAAAGGTGTGTATCAGTAATAGGTGTCAACCTGTGGAATAAGCTTGAAACGGACTTGAAAATGAGTAAATCGCTGGAGGAGTTCAAAAATAAATTCAAAAGATGAGTACAAAAAAACTACATGAATCAGAATTAAGAAGATAAATTTGATATACTTATAAAATATAATATTACAACTGTTTGTTCTTGTTTTGGACTTTTGATCAACTTATCAATTGTACTCAAGAAATGCAGTAATTATAATGAATATGAGAAAATTGAAACAAAAAGGAGAAAGAATAATTATATATATACAAACCGAAAGGTGTATAAATAGAAAAGTACAGTATACATAATGGTAAAAGTATTTGATATGTAGACTTTCTTCTTCTTCTTTGTTTTAAAAAATGATCAATTCATATTACTCCACAATAAGGGGTGGGACAAGATAAGTTGTTTACTTCTTCCTACTCCTTTGAGCATACAACTGTGATGATGTGTGTTTTTCTTTTACTTACTTTTTTAATTTTCCTTTCATAAAATTTGCTTGCCTTTTGTCAATCTGTTATTGTGTGTACTATATATGCTCAATAAACAAACAAACAAACAATACAGCAGCACTCATCATCCCATGATCAATTAAAGGCAGCACTAAATGTTTTGTCAAAGCTAAATTTCTGAGAAAAGGAATATCACCTATTTGTGTCACACTTGTCAAATGTCAAACACTTTCATCTTCCTCTCCTCCTTTTCAGTAAGTGGCTCATTGTTGACAATCTTATCATGCAACCGGTGGTGTTTTCCTATGCCCAGTTTGGGCAGGCCTCTGTTCAGACCTTCCAGAAGCACACAGGACTTGCACAACGTCTGACTGGAGATATAGCCACACTTGCTGCAAGTTCCTTGCACGGGCATCTTCACACCCTCCCGTATAGAAAGATTCTCCCCCGAATGGATGATATCAATGATGGCACTGGAACGTATGCTTTCCAGATCTTTTAAAAAAGTCCTCGCGTAGCCACGATAAGCGTTGGGAGAGTAGATGCATTCAGTGGAAAAGTAGTCCAACTTTTTGAAATAAGCATATAAAACTATCTCTTTCTCATAGGCGTATTTGAGAGGCTTGCAGCGTGGTACGACCCCGTCACCCTCGCTGTTTGTGGAGATGGCAGTACAACGCCGCAGACGTGCTATGTCCCCTCGTAGGACATTCATCAGTACTGTTTCGGCTATGTCGTCAGCATTGTGACCTGTGCAAAAACACCCCCATTAGTCGTCACTTACATAAAATTATATATGTAAAAGATGGGAGAATACAGAAAGAGGGCTCCTCGAGTATTTCTCTTTGCACAATCTCTCGATTCTGTCTGGTGAACCATATCTATGATTTTCAGTTTGAGAGTATGCAAAACAAATTGTCTTCATTTTAAGGCTTCTCTTAAGACATCGTACTCTTGTGTGGCTATAATTATGGATGGCACTGTAAATTAATACTACAGTACCTTGTTTTATTAGAACTTATTACAACACAGTATAATATCCTACTTAACAATAAGGTTGTCATTTTGCTTGTGGTGGTGTAAAACCTCACTGAGAAATGAACCACTAATGAACCAAAAAGAGGTAACAAAAATATTAAAAACAGCCCTTATTATGATACGATGCAGTTGGACAGCACTCCAAACTAAAATTGCATGAATAAACTGACCTACTGGCTCTCAGAGAAAGGTGCCACTGTGACGTTGTACCAAATATTGGAGTGGCTGTCGTATACAAGTTTAGCATTACCTGTGCAGATCTTGTCCACTTTCAGCATGACAGCTCCTCTGTCCAGTGCCTGTCGTCTGAACACGCCACAGAAGGTGCAGTTATTTTTCAGTCCCACTTGCTTCACTATGGCATCCATAGTCCAGCCATACAGCTCTTCATACGACACGATCTTCAGCGGCAGCTCGTACTGTTGCTGGTTCCTCTTCACCGTCTCCAAAGAGTCATCCCTATAACCAGTGATGCCCTCATCCACAGAGAGGAGCATAAGATTCAAGCCATACGAGTACCTCTCGTTCAGGAGCTTCATCACATGCGCCAGAACCGTGGAATCTTTGCCACCAGATGCCGCAATCCCAACGGTCTCACCGGGTTGGAATAAATTTGCCGCCACAATGGTTTGATGCACCTCCTCTTCGAAGGCACAGAAGAAGCACTCCTTACATAGTGAGTGACCCGTTTTGGGACGTTTCAGCATGGCACGCTTCTCGACACAGTTGCTGCACTGGACAGGCATCTTTGCTGTTGGGAGATTAAATGAGGTTACATCAATGGAGATTCAACATGTCCCCACTCATTTTGACATCCACAAAATCAACCCTGAAAGCCCACCTTCATTGTTATAATTTACATATAGCCCTATTTTAAATGGTTACATTCGTGATGTGTCTCTAAGACATTTTCAATTAAAATTATTATTATCTTTGCAAATTGATCTTTTATATACAGTATTTGCAACTGATGTTAAAAAATATAATCAACGAAAACCAGACAGCGTTTATGACGTGCACATTCATAAGAGAAGCATGCTAAGAGAATATACTCATTAGTCAATTCTTGTATGTTGTGACTTAATAAAGTTGTGTTTTCTTCATAACAAAACGGTGTTGCTAATTTCCCATAAGTAAACAACAACACATTTATTGATAAGGTTTTAGAGAGTTACTCTTTAAACGTGGTCATGTAACACTAATAGGTATGTCTCGATTTCGAGTGTATTCCAGATTTAAATGTACCATCATGATTCACATGTGCCACGATGATTCATGGTTAGCTACTACAGCCCAAGCTAGTGTGAAGTCTTGTTTGTGTAAAACGTTTCATACCGTTCAAGTGCAGTCAGCGTGGAGAATGAATGCCAAGTGGGTCGGAACAAATACAGCACAAATGTGAATGGCTGTAGCTCAATTAAACACCCGTGGAAAAAAATGGCACATTTAAGAGCCGCATATTGACGAGCTAACTGGGGCTTGTGTTGCATCGGTTCTTCTTCACTGACCAACGGGAAGTCACGTCAACTTCCGACAGCGCACCCTGTCGTTGACGCCATGAAAAGAAATCTCAAACGTTTTCCCGACCCCAAAAAATACAGTTCGGAATTGTTCCCCATGATGACCAATATTAAAACACATTAGAGTTGTGGGCCCATTAAAAACGAGGCGGAGGTTTAATACCGAACTAATTGCACTACAACATTACATTACATAATGCACACATTTTATGCACAATTTGAACAATAACACTGTGCTTTGACACATGAATATAAAACATTGACTAATAATTATATTAAAATGTTTTGCGCATAAAATGTTAATGCATATTCTATTTAAATGAATAATTAAAAACAAACAGTTCTATGCAAATACATGGCCTCCTAATTAAAAGTGAAATACAATTGAACTATACTTAGAAATATCTACTGTTCCACGCTGCCCCTTGAACAAGACCAAGAACATCCTCAATTGTAATTGTCGATAGCAGAAGTGTCCAAACTACGTCCAGGGGGGAATCTGCAGCTCGGCATCCATTTTTCAGCGGCCGTCGACATGACGACAAAAAAAAAAAAAAAAAAAAAGACATTTGACATGGGCCACAAGGTTAGTTAAAAAAGGTGAAAGTGGGCAGACTGAGAAGGCAGGTGTACTGTAGAACTTTTCACTATGTTCGAAGATGCAAAGAAACCATTAATGATTAGACAAATAGCACAATGTATCTTTAAAACAGTGTAGTGAATAAAGATAATTTAATTTTAGAGTCAAAAATACTTTCTTCCACTTTGTGCTCTATGGCTGATTTATGAAGATATCATTTTAATGATCCTCAAGTAAGTGAAAAGGCATCACCTTACTCCAGTTTTTTTCCCCGCATTTAATATGTATGTTCATTCTTATGCTGTTTTCCTCTTACAATGTTTCAAGATGACCCCTCAAAGACCAGCAGGCGCATGTTTGTGGTGGAACCTGTGCAAATGTGGTGATAACACAAACAGTCTTTGGACTGTTTCAAGATCCCTCTCTGAACACTATTACGACAGTCCCACAGAAAATACACACATTTATGGCATATACATTTTCGCTGTAACGAGTAAATAAAGTGGTAAGTGAGAATGCCTTTTTTGTACTCTTTGGCCACTGCACAAACCAGTTCATTGTGCAACATTTGTAACCTCAAAATGTCACGTGTTGGTAGAATTGTAAAACGACGACCCCTTGTACTCGTGAAGTGCTTGTTCGTGACCCTCCATTAGAGTGACCGTGACATCTTTTTGGGTCCCAAACCATCAGTTGAGAATCACTGTGCTATAGCTTCAGTTTATGCTTATGACAAATGAGGTTATGAACACAAGATGGCACACTAAGTTACCACTGTACTTACTGTTTTACATGTCACAGTTTTGTTGGTTTTCATGGATTTATGGCCCAGAAGTATTCTCTTTGCTTGTACAGTAATTATGACTTTGGAGATTACAAACTACAATTAAATAAAGCAGAATTAATTTTGCGCAGTAGTTTAAGAATGTGTCATCCAGCAGCACAAGGCACATTGAGTGTCTACTTATTGATTTTCATTTGATTGTTTTATATTTATGGCATTTGATGTGTTTTTCATGCAAAAAAATGTGCTGTAATTATGACATTGCAATTGTTGTTGCGGAAATTTGAGCTACTGAGAACAGCTTGAAAACATGCCGGTCATTTTCACAGAACAGACTCACTTGCCTTGGAGAAATGTAAGCAAGAAGCAATTTATTCAGTCGCTCCAAATGATTCACTTCTGCAACAGCTGCAATAGGTTGGCATATCGGTTGAGTTTGCAACTAATGAGGGTAAATGGTCATTGCTGGATGGGAGAAAGCTTGCAGCGGTCAAGGTTCATACTAAGGAAATACTCATGAGCTTAGTTGACAGGGTGAAAAGCACCCCTCTGATGCCACTGCATGTCTCTGATGCGCCGAACCGACTGGATCTGTGGGATCTGGGCGCCGAACTCCATGTTGTCCTTATACTCGCCCTTCTCGAACAGGTACTGGTAGCCTCTGTAGCCCGGATACTGGTAGCCGACCCAGCTGGCGTATCAGGCGCACAAGAGGAATCGGATAAGGATTCGTTTGAAGCTGTAGGGGACGGTGACTGGCTCGATGGACTCACGTGCCGCTCTGAACCCGAACAGAGGAGACCTTTTCCTGGTAGCCATGCGCATGGAAGCTCGGGACATCATCATCGATGATTTCTATCTTCTTCCCCGCAAAGCTTGGGTTCTCATAAAGGACAATCTTGTGCTCCTGGCTGTCCTGGGGTCGGAAACAAATAAGCACAGCGATTGCCTTTCTCATCGGCTACTTTGATGATTAATCTGGTTTAAAGCTCGTGAGATGTATTTCATGTTCTCAGAGGGAAAGCCCAATTATAACATTAGGAGCAGGTCCTTGTATATGAATGTGATGAATACTTTGTGTACAGCTGTAAAGCAGAGAGACGTAAAGGAAAGGAAATGTGTGTGATGATGTTACATAAAATAAGAATTCCTTTCTGAAAAGAAAGTCGCCTGGCAGAGAGACGTAAAGGAAAGGAAATGTGTGTGATGTTACATAAAATAACAATTCCTTTCTGAAAAGAAAGTCGGCTTTCTCACCACTTTAATTGGTCGGAATGCAACAATGGTGTCGCTGCGCCTGCTGTTGGTCCAGGAATCCCAGCGAGGATACTCCCCCTTCTCAAACACATACTGCTCGCCCTTGCAGTCGGCCTGCTCATATCCCACCCATCTGAGAGGAGTTAAGAGAAAGAGATACGGGGGTTGTGGTCTGTGTGGAGGTGGAACCGCAGAATACTCATCTCCTCAAATGAAGCTTTTAGAGTCCGTCTCCAAAGCCACACTCACGGTCCACAAAGCACCAGAATGGAGCCCACTTTCTCCACGCCTGCTTCCTGGAGGTTGTTACAGGCACCAGTCAGCTCATGGCACCGTCCCTGGAAGTTTTCCTGCTCATAGATAACCAGCTGCGGGGGCAACAGTAGAAAGGGAGAAATTGCATTCAATAATTCATGTTGCAGACAGTCAAGGGAGGAGAGAAATCTTGAAAGTTTCAATAACACATAGAGCAAAGTGTTGACTCCAAAGGGGAAAATTTGCACTCTCACGATTAGTATTACCGCATAATGTTTTTTGAAATGCAAACTTCATATTACCTTGAGTGCACTGGAGCCTGGCTGCTGCTGCTTGGATGCAGGGTTCTGGTGGTCTGTGGCCATAATAAATTGATAGGCAAAGATCAAACTGAAACAGAAACAGACCAAAGCTACTTTTATTATTGTTAGAAGATAGAAATGCACATACTGTATAAAGCTAAAAATATCATCTTAAATATGAAGTATTTTCAACGTCATATTAAGATCTCAAAGGGGGCATATATTCATATTCTGGTCACATTTTGAGTGAAAGTGTTGCTTTATTACTTTGGAACCACCAGCTAAAATACACTTTTTAATATCAAAGGTTTTCTTATAACTTATAACTGACGTATATAAATGAGGACGACCACGTACAACAGCAAAATAAATGTCAAACTCTCGCAAGGGAATCAAGATTACATATTTCAATTATTTCTAAGCCAGGCAAAAATATTTTTTTCCCCAGATAAAAAGAAGTCCAACATTGGACACACATTATATTTAAATATACTTTTTGTTTAGCTTTCCTTGACCCACCAGTCAAGAATCATCGATCTAATCATTAGATCAATGATTCTTGATCTAATGATTAATCTAATCATTAGATCAATGATTCTTGACTGGTGGTGTATTCGATTCTAATGCATCTGAATAAACTACATGTTCAGAACATCAGCATGCATGCATAATTTTGGACTTGCAAATAGTTACTTGTTACACTCTTCTGTTTTCTTGTCTCAGGATCAAATAAAATGTACCATTCACTGAAAAATAGCTCACTTAAACTCACATTTTCATGTATGAAAACCTTTGGCATGAACTTTTGTGAGGAATGCATGCATGTATCAAAACAAAAGAAGAGCAATGCATTAGTCTAAGATTAAACCATCATGCAAATATCTATTGAAATACAAAATAATAGAAATGAATCTTACCAGTGCCAGTCTGTGCCAGTGTGGTTGTGATGGTGTGCCGCGTTCAATATATACAGGAAACGCAGGGGTGGACACTCTGCCAACATTACCCACCGTGACCATGCCAGCCCGCAGAGAGGCCTGCCATAGGCCAGGCAGACTGAGTTGAGGGGTCACTTCATAGGCTCCCACCCCTCAATGCCGGGGTGTCACACCCCCCACAAAGTAATTTCATTAGTTGTCAGTTTTAGCCAGCCAGTCATTGTTCAATATCCCCTTGATTCAGCACAAACAGTGCCAAAAGGTACCCACCCACAAAGAGAAAGAGAGAGAGAGAGAGAGAGAGAGAGAAAGAGAGAGAGAGAGAGAGAGAGAGAGAGAGAGAGAGAGAGAGAGAGAGTAGAGTGAGCATTCCATGATGGGGCTTGTGGAAGATATTTCAGGGAAAGTTATTTTTCATAACTATAAAGTCAAGTAAATCTTCATGCAAATGGGGTTTGCAGCTTAACAGCAAAATGGCCAACTCAAGTTTTACAACTATGTCTAATTTGTGATGTTAAAAAAAAATCTGGTTAAAAAAAAATTAAAATAATATATTTTACAACTTAAAGATCTACAAAATTGGAATCTTGACAATCATGTAGATCATGTATTGTGCAGCAAGTAAAAATCCGAGGTCCTTTGTGGTGCTCAAATGTCACATCGTGACTTCATGCCATTTTTAAATTCTGTTCTATGGTATTCTATCAATTGGTACCATGTGTCTCAGTCATATATCTATATATATATATATATATATATATATATATATATATATATATATATATGAACATAAAATTCCAGATAAATCCCATACCCAACTATTGTACCAAGGCATTTAACTGCCAACTTCTGAAAGGAGCTACGGTATACTGTAGGTTGTGTGGTTTCATTGTATCAAGTATTATGTACACGCCTCGTGTAGTTTGTCTTATTTACGGTACATACATACTGTACATGTGATTGTGTATGCATGCAAACTGGATTCTTCTTAATTTATGTTCTGACAATGGTTTGGTAGGAATAATACCTTATTTGAATGAAGTAAGAGGGTTGACTCATGTTTAACAAATATTTATTGGTAGCAAATGTTCATCATTATTCCAGATTTGAAGTTATATTTTGTTCTGTGACTTTTGCCATAATTCATCCATGTTAATAAAGGCTGACTTTGGTATACAGTGTGAACATTGCTCTGCATGTGTTCATTTATAAAGTTGGATGGTTGCATTCTGAAGATGTGGCATTCTGTCTTTTATTTTGGCTTTTTTTAAAAATAGTTTTTATTGAAAGATTGTGGTCGTTACAATGTTGATAAGTGAGTGATCAATCAGACAATGAGGACTTTAGAGGGGAATGTGGTGCACTACGTTTTAATAGCAAGCTTACATAGTTTGATATAGTTTCCATGCTGTTGACGAGATCCTAATTACACATTAACAGAACACATTGTGGCCTCTTCATGCTACGAAAAAGTGGAAGACTGGAATGATTTCACATACAGTAAGATGTTTCCCTTCTAGTTACTTTTCTACAATGTTTAACATGTCACCTACAGTACATTTAGGCTAATTACAAGAGCATTATTGACAACAAGCAATTCCAAGTCAAATAACCTTTATTGGCCACAGAAACATTTATGGCACTCCTCTGTGGAGACAAGCAGCATTCGGCAAGGTTAGTGAAGGCAGAGACCGGGCTCGGTGTGGAGCTTGGGAGAGGCTTCGGGAGGTGGAGATGCAGGTTGGGATCCCGCTCAGCTGGCCCCACCTTTGGTAGAAGGGACAGGTGGTGCCGGAGCAGGATCTGGGTCCGGAGCGGGGGCTGGAGCAGGAGCCGGAGCAGGAGCAGGAGCCGGAGCAGGAGCAGGAGCAGGAGCCGGAGCAGGAGCAGGAGCAGGAGCCGGGTCCGGAGCAGAGAAGCAGCCCCTCTTGTGCCACTGCATGTCCCGCACACGTCGGACAGACTGGATCTGGGGCACAGGGGCCTCCCAGTCATTCCAGTGCTTGAAATCTCCCAGTTCAAAGATGAACTGGCGTCCCCTGTAGCCTGGGTACATGTAGCCGACCCATCTGGGGAATTGGAACATACACACAATTTGAAGTGCAAAATTACCGTGAGAATCTGAAGTGACAGTCAGTAGAGATCTTACGTTCCATTGAGAGCTTTGACACTTGCTACGCGATCCTGAAAACCGTGGCCCCACAAACTGGGGACGTCATCGTCAATAATCTCCATCTTTCTCCCGGTAAATCCAGGGTTCTCAAACAAGTGTAGCTTGTGGTCAGCACTATCCTGAAGTCGGGATGGCAGACACACAATGCTCACATGGCAAATGCTTAACCGATCAAGCTACACTTAGCAATGTATTGCGGTGTATACCCACCACTTTGAGTGGCCTTAGAGACAAAAGGGAGTAGCTGTTCTGACTGTTGGTCCACGTGTCCCAGCGAGGGTACTGGCCTTTCTCCAGAATAAACTGTTCCCCCGTGAAACCGTGCCGATCATAACCAACCCATCTATGGGAGGAAAAATAAGAGAAAAACAGTGCGATTAAATTGACACATTTCATAATGTGAATTGAAACATGGAAGGTTACTTACGGCCCGGATTCAACGATCACCGAGCCAACCTTCTGGAGGCCCTTCTCTAGTACATCTTTACACTCTGCTGAGAACTCAGCCTTGCTTCCCTGGAAGTTCTCAAATTCAAACAGCACCACCTGGAGCATGGAGAAAGGGGTGCTTTGAGGCCCTTGGGATCATGACGTGCAAATTAAACCGTTTAGTAGAAGCGTGCGTTCAAGCATGAGTGGATGTATGGAATCATGGGCATGTGCGTAAGGTCTAAGCCATCCTGCTGCTTATAGCCTTGCTATTCCAATACCTTGTATGTGGCTCCAGCTCCACCCTGGCTCTTCCCTGCAGCCAGCTGCTCTGGGGCACTCTGCGGTTCTGACATTCTTCCAATCGCTCCTCCACATTTTAGTTAACAAACAAGCACATACACCAAGAAATACCATTGGCCATGATGTGCACATTGGTTAAAAAGGAGCAGACAGAATGACATTCGAATGATACGGGTACCTTTCAAAAATGACTGTCAAGCCTATATATGTTGAGCTGTGTTTTAAAACATAGAAGTAATGGATCATGCCTAGCCTATAATGTAGTTGGGCAGAGGTTAATAGGTGAGCATTTATCAAATCAATTTAATTTGATCAATTCAACGAAATAGCATGACAAGAATTCTCCATTAATGTTCCCCGATGCAGTATCAAACTCCAAATTTTCAGAACGATTCCCCAATTCCTATAAACCACTGCATCTGGATGGAGACTTTACCTGCGTCTGCCTGCAAGAAGTGGCGCTGTCCCTCTTTTCAAAGCCACTTGGTGTTTGGTGCGGTTGAGCCATTAGAAGGCAGGGACAGGGGGGTATTTATGGTTTATTTCTGGCCACAACAGCAGAAAAGGGGGAGCTGTTGATGCAGCAAGTCTGTCGCTCACATTGTGTCCATAACGCTGCCTCTCAATAGGCAGCTGTGTTGGCATCGGCTGCGCTGCCTGCCCGCCTGCCTGCCAACCAACCAACACTGTGCATAGGCACGGGGAGAGAGAGCCAAGAGGATTGCACAAACAGCCGCACTCAGCACAAACATACAAGGTGACAACCAGGCTTGGCTTGGCTGCGCCATTACTCCTCACAAAATCCAAACAGTGTTATCAAGAGCTAATTAGAGCGACAAAGGCTTGGACAATAGTTGTTCCAAGCAACCCCCATTTTAAAAAAATAGTTATTTTAAAAACATGAGGATAGGGGATAAAGTTATATAGAGACAGTCGTGGAGGTCAAGTAGAATTTTTTTTTTTAATTGATTCACTTGAGGACATTGGCCTGACAACACAGTGAATTATGCATCTGTACTTTCAAACAATAAAAAAAAAAAAAAAGAAACAAATGACATATAAAACAAATCCCAAATTCATGTTAAACATCATGTACAAAAACAAACAATCACTCAAAAGACTTGATCCATACACATTGTCTTGCTTCGTAGGGACATTCTAATGTGTTCACCTGTACGCATGACACAAAACATGACCAATGAGGTCAAGTACTGCCACGCATCAAGTGACAAAGTGCTTTAGAGAGGTGAATGGGTCAATGGCAACATGATGTGGAAGAGTACGCCTAACTTGTCGATCAGATGTGCACAGTCACATACTGTACGGACGTATGTATGGATCTCTACATATGTTGTGTCCAGTAACAATGGAGCAGACAAAGTATGCTTAAATTGTATGATTTAACTTCCTGTGATTCTCGGCCAGACACTTTATGCAAAGCCTGACAGCAAAAGATTGTGCATACACAGGATTGAAGGAACACACACTGTTCGACCATCATCGAGGAGTGTGTTACAACAGTTCGGCGCTCGATGGCTATTTATGGATGCTTGGAATCTATCAAGAGGGAGTGAACGGGATTAGTGTTTTGATATAAAACTGAAAAAGTGTTTGTGCTGTTACGGAGTGTGCATGATGCAAAGTCACTTGCCCCCAGATTCCCTCCCCCGCAAAGAAAAAAAATATACATCCAAACAGAAATGTGACGCTAACGTTGAGGAGTGTATCAAAGCAAGGCAGTTGAGCCTCTATTGTAACGAAACCGCATATCTTCTCCCCAGTACTAGCTCTCTTTCATAGGAAATCATACAAATATAACATCTCATGATTACTTACATGATATACATTTCATCTAATAATGTGGTAAGCAGCTTTTTAAGTTCAACAAGGAACCATTAGTGTCTAAAATATTGTCCTATGGCAATTCATGGATGACTTCCATCAATGATGAATGACAGACAAAGATGACATCCACAGAAGCACGGACTTGTACGTATTAGGGGAACCAAATATCAACATCTTCTATTGTACTGGCTGGTTCTCCAGCATGCGGGGAATTGTGCAGTGGTCCCTCAAGTGAACCCTTTTCTGACATACAGCCTGACGGGAAATTATTCAACTCCCTCTCCCAAATGACTTCTGGTCCCTTATGAAGTGTTCACCAAGTGTCACTCTCGAAGTAGAGATCACACGTGTAGATGAAAGGATAAATACATATATAGATATATAAGCAGAGCAGCTGGGTGCATTTTTTTTTCCATCTGCCCCCTTGTTGATATTGTCTATGAAAGGCACCTTGCAGGACAATCAAACCCAGGCAGAGAGAACCTAAAGAAGAAAAAAATTCCTCAGCAGCAGATTTTCTCCTCCAACTCTGAGTCGACGGTTAGTTAAGGCCTCAGTTTCTTTTAGATCTGTTTCAGAAGGCGAGCTAAGAGAGAGAGAGAGAGAGAGGGAGAGAGAGAGAGAGAGAGAGAGAGAGAGAGAGAGAGAGAGAGAGAGAGAGGCATGTGTTAATAGTGACTATTTTGTTGAATGTTTAAAAGAGAAGAAGAACACATTCTCTCACCTCTCCTTAGCACTCGTTCTCATATTGACTCAAGCGCTTCTTCGACTTGAGCTCTTTCAACCACTGGGGTGATTCCTCCACACTGACAAAAAGATAAGCACAGTCTGAGATGGAGAACTAATTAATGCATTGAATCCTACAGGTGAAAAAAAGACAGCATCCAATAAAAACATGTTTCTCAAAGCTGGCATCGCTTACCTATTTTCTTTCCCACCAGCTGGCGGAAGTACACGAGCAGTCCGAGACAAGAAGGGCGATTTGGGGGAACGAGAAAGAAGGGAAGGAGAGGGTGCATCAGTTTGATTGTCAGAGTCGCTTCTCTTCTTCAATTGGACCTAGCAGCAGAAATTCAACATATTCAGGCGGAACAAACGTGGATCAGATAAGGCTGACAGTGAATCCTTTGAGTGGATTTCCCCCACTGAGTCAAGTATTCACCTTTAAAGCTTGAGAGTCCACCCCAGGGAACAAGGCAATCCTTTGTGGCTGAGAAGCAAAAGTAGCAGCGGCGTCTGCTCCTCTGGCCTGCTCCTCAGAATCGACTTCATCCATCTTACGCTCAACCTTCTCCTCTGTCGGGGGAAAAAAACAACCTAAGCCGATTTGTGAGCTGTATGCCATTAAAGGCGCCCTTCCACCATAATCTAATTTTCCCAAGATTTTATGCATATGTCAAAATGTTTTTTTTGTTTTGTTTTTGTATGCAATATCCAAGTTATACAATATATTCGAATGCGGAAGCTTTCACTACACATTAGGACGCACGCACACGAGCTAAATAAGGCAAATCACATAGCGGGACACACATGTTTTAGAATAGCTCTTTTCCTGGGAAGTGGAATTGATTTATAAACCATTATCTCACTTTGTTGCCTGACTTCCAGATGCGGTGTCATGGATGTGATGTCGCCCCTTGCACCCACCAGGTGCTATTGAGTGATTTGGCAGATCGTTTGCTTATGGATGTAAATCTGCCTTTTCTGTTTGTTTTTTTTCGCCTCGCTAGGTAAATCCTTATAAGCCGTGTGTAGAAAGCATCATTCATATATAAACCACGTGGCGGCTTATAGTCCGGAAAATATGGTACAAATAGTAAAGTAGCAACATGACGAGGGCTGCCATCTTGGCGGAATTTTCTTTAAAAAATGCCTCTAAAATCGGCCATAACAGATAAATTCACCAAAAAAAAAAGTATTGACAAGTTTGAAAAAGAAAGAGACAAACAAAAAAACATGTAGGTTCACTTGATATAAGTCAGTAATGTTTGTTTGATTCTTCCACTAACAAAGCACAAAACTCTCTCTTAAAAACACAAAACAACATGCAGGCGGGTCTCCTCCTCGTTTTCGAATGAAGCGGCCAACTCAACCATTCACTAAAAAAAGGCTGTCCTGATGTCGTTTGCGTTACTTGAAGTTGATATTAAATTGGCAACGATTATGTACTGAACGGAAAAAAATATATATACTAGAAAAAACCTATTCATGTTTTTCACTCACAAATACTAAGTCAATTTTACAAGGAGAGTTTTTGAGTAAAATTTACTTGCATAGTATTAGTTATTTTTATTTTTATTTTTTATCACGGAAGGGTTGAGGAACGAACCTCCAACCTTCAGACTGGGAGACGGGCACTTTACATGTCACTCCCACCCTGTGTTGGTACCATATTTTCAGGACCATAAGATGCACACTTAACTGTTCACCAAAATGGACCAGGCGCCTAATAATGCCTTGTGTATGCGCGAGTTCCAAAATTGTTTTCATTATTTCCCAAGCTATTGTTGTGAAGGTTATGAAAGACAAGCTTTGAGGGACCTCTTACAATTTAATATAGCACCAAGTTAACTGTGTAGTTCCAAACTTTGTAGCTAGACACAGTAACTTTAAGTCTGAGAACAACAGGTTTCAACTAAATCCATCCAGTAGTTCCTAAGAAATAGCGTTACTAGTGAAATCACCTAATTCTATTACAAAGTCCCTGTTAGCATCATTATTTTCGTTGTGACAAAAAAAACAAACAAAAAAAATAATAAAATACAGTCCGTCCCTAAAAAAAAAAAAAAAAAAAAAATTGTGCTCATGTTCAAGTGGCCTTTCCAAGCAGACTTTGCATTTTGACAGATTTTCATTTTTGGGAAATCCTGTCAGGTTGCTAAATAGTTCAAAAATTCGAGCTCAGAAGTCACGCTGTCCTGTGTTTTGGGCAAAGACAAACCTGTGGAGTCTCTGTAGAGCCAGTCCTCAGAGGTAGCCCCCCCGCTCCCATGTTGAGTAGTGTTTTGACGGGCAGTTCTGGAGGGCCGTGTCCTGGGAGCACGCTTCTTTCCAAGTTGGACTCTGGACCGAAGGACACCGGTGTCTAAAAGAGTGGTTGGGACCTGGGACACACAGATAGAAAGAAAATATATTTGAGAAGGAGCACATGCATTAATGTAGCCCATTTTGGAGAGCTTGGTGCATTTACGTGTAATGACACTTACATCAGGGAACAAGAGCGGCTCGTTCTCATATTTAGATGGTGGATGCAGGCCATCGCAGCTGCCGTGTTCGTCTTGTGGATGTGAAGGAGTTGTGTTTCTTGGCGTAGGGCTGAGATTGCTTTCTGAGCAGGGAGTGGCAGGAGTTAGACTAGAAAAGAAGCCAGAAAACAAACTTGAGCCAACTAACTCCCAGTTGAATAGATATGGATAATGAAAGAATGATTTCACCATGCACATCAGAAGACAATCTGTTTTCGAGTAAACCAAACTGAAATCTATCCACGGCGTAATATTCTTTTATGACCACAGGAGGTCAGTAATGGTCATTATTTCAAAGGAAACTGGTAGCAAGCATTACTGTCTTAATTTTGGCTTCACCACAGTGATCAAAAGATGGGCATGGACAGAAATCCTTGAGTTTTTTTTCGTGTTTTAATACCTTTTGAATGTCTTCAATATTTCTCAAAACCAACTTGACATTGAGTTGCAAATTTTGTTACACTGTTTTTGAGGTTATGTACTTGGCCAAGCCAATCAAATGTTCAGAGATGTCTTTGAATTTCAAAGCAAGGACCTTTTATAAGGGAATGAAACAGGTGCCAGGGGTGCCACTCGTCTTCTGCATTCCCCTCTGACCTCCTCACTAAAATCCATCCTAAGTGGGGTTCCAGTGTTCTGAATAATGTCCAGTAATGTATATACCATTGTCTGAGAGTAAACCCCAATTTTTAAAGAACACATCTCACACAGCTGATCTTTTAATACATTTAATGCGAGTGTTTCCCTTTCATCCAAGTAAAATCACGACTACTCTGGTATAATGTGACACCGTGATGTCACTATTGTCCTGGATCGTCTGTTGATGAAAGCAACAAAACCTTCTCCATTCAAACATTAGTTACTTGCCTTAAAATTTTTTTAAATTTCCCCAGTGTGGGACAAATAAAGGATATCTAATCTAATCTAATCTAAAAGTGCCAATTTGAAAGTGTCTGGTTTGACAACTCACCTCAAATTGCTGTTGTTTTGACTCTAGCACCATCATTTCATTGTGATTTTCCAAGGGCATTTTAAAAGTATTTTAGAATGGTCCACTGCATAACAAGTCAGAGTAGCATCTCCCTCATAATTTGGACGCTAAACACTAAACACAAGCCATTGCAATTTTAATGATAAATTCTTATTTTGAGTGAGTTATGAAACAGCCAAGAATGACTAAGAGCCATATTCCCACATTTGCATCCAAGTACTTTTTTTTACATGCCCTGGCTTGCAGACTTTTCATCTACGCATATTCTCCCACCAAGAATTCTGACACACTCACCACGCCTAAACTGGGAATGAACGCGGAAACGCCAAAGAAGCACGATTCACTGAGAACTGAGCCTCGTTGGAAATCCCGGGACCTGTACTTTTCCTGAGACTTTTGAATGTCATTTAAATCTGTGATCAAAATAACTTGTGTAGTCAGTCAGCTACTCGGGATGTGCGGACCACTCTGGCTGGCACTTAGACTTTAAGGGAGAGTATGTTTTTTACTCTGTATGGAATCAAGCCAATAAAAGTGATCAGAATGCTTTGCTTATGACTCGTGGTTAAAGAGCCATCAATAAAAAAGGGTGTGTCTTGTACCATGCTCTAGCTCGATCACCCATAACCTTTTTTTTGTGCCACATACCAGTTTCACTTAAACATAGTTTTGACAGACAAATGATATACAATATATCATAATATACAAATCGCCATTATGTCATTGCGATGAATGCGCTAGTTTGTTAGTTATTAGTGGGTGCCCAGCACTAATTCTCTTCAACGAAACAGTTCCGAAAAAAATAAAGACAATTTAAGACTTGACATTAAATCCCAGCCGAAAACATGTATGAAGCAGAATAATTCCTCATAGTTGTGAGCATCTTAAACAAACTACGCGAAAAAAAAAAAGGAGTCGATGGAGCCGATACTCCCCACCACGCAGTAAATATCATAACTAAAATGCTGTAACCGGTCGACTCACAGTGCCTCTTTGATGAACTTGAGACAATATTTTTTGTTCAGTTGCTCTGTGCAGTCCTGCATAAGTGTTGGAGACCCTGGTTTTACAGTAGATTATTGAAATCATAAGGACCCGTCATGCATGTCTGTTGTCTGGCTAGATCAGTGGTTCTTAACCTTGTTAGAGGTACCGAACCCAACAGGTTCATATGCACATTCACCGAACCCTTCATTAGTGAAAAATAAAAATAAGATTTTTTTTTTTTAACAAATTCAAGACATTAAAAAAACACATTTATTAAAAACAGAAAAATGTAAACACAATTAGTATAAGTATAAAGTATAAATCTTTTAATTGTGCACAAAATGAACCAGCCAGTGATGGCCAAGCGGGCATGTCATAACTAATTGACATGTTGAGTCGGGTATGTCTTAACCTGCATGGCAAAGGCTCTGTCGAACCTCTGAGATCGATTCACTGAACCCCTGGGGTTCGATCGAACCCAAGTTAAGAACCACTGGGCTAGAGAGCTGAAATGTCATGTAAATAGAGGTCTATGCCTATGTTGGCATACTGCATAAGACTATGATTTAAAAAAAGAAAAAAAAAAAACAACTGCGATGGTCGCAGTATAAATATGTTTGATAGCTTTCTGGAAGTCTCTCCTACAATATTATTAGTAGATGGGGTAGTGTTGCCACAGTAATAAAATTCAGAATTCGATACTACTGTATACGTTTACCTACCTTTAAGTAACTCAATACCGGTACTGAAATGACACAGCAGATTGTTTTTTTGTTTTTTTTTTAATGGACATGCATTACTGAGCTAAGGTAATCATTTTAGATTGGAAAAATCTCATGGAACATCACTTAACAAATACGTCACAAAAAGTATGAATACCGAAATACTGATCATCTTGTCTCAAAGCCAGGCCTGCCTAATTAAAAGCTGATGACTTATTCTGTTGTATAAACACCACAAGTTAATTGTACTTTCTGCCATCTGGTGGGAGAATATTTCATTGTTCTGCCCACCACTCGACGTCAGAGACATACAGGATGTACAGTATATAAGCGAGCGGTGTTATTGTTGAAATTAGTTTGTATCCCGTTAGTTTACTTGTACATCAGAAATGTAATTTTATTTTTATCCATTTAATTTTTGCCTCATTTCCTCTCATTGTCAGTTACGACGGATCACAAGGTTTGTGTACTGCACACATGTTGACAATAAACAGGTTGTGAATTAGTTCAGAAATATTTGTTCCAAGTAAGATGTGATCATGTGTGTTTACCTATCATCAGTGCGCAGTCCTGTCTCCCAAGTCCCATACTGACTATCCGTCTCACCCACTGGAGTTTCATAGTCCTTTCTCTCATCCTCATCACTGACACCTTGCTTCTGTTGCTCCTAGGGGTGAGAGACCAAGAGAATATGAATAGAGAGAAAGAAAACATCTACATATTTAAAACAGGACGGTCTTCCTGTGTTCAAACAGTGACATGTCACAACATAGCCTTCATTAAATCTGGGCATACATTCTTACAAGGTCTAGCTTTAATAATATTCAGTATAAACTACAGTGTGAGTTAAGTATGGCAAACTTACATCATAATTCCATAACTACTCAAGAGCTCACAATGTAAATGGAAAAAAAAATCTGCATCACTAAGATAATGAAAAGCGTGTCGTTTATGGAGGCAGAACCAGAGGCAGGGACAAGGATAAAGATGGGTGGGTGACTGAGTGTGTGTTTGCCGTTTAGTGAACCGTGGTTCTTTTAATGAGGCTGGTACAGAGGACATACTGTCTCAAAACCACACGGAGCCAACGGAGGCGTGTCTGCACATGAACTGATAAACCTGCCCTATATAGGAAAACACAATAAGAAGTGCTTCTGTCCTCATATGTTGCCCGGGGGCTGGAGAGGGGAAACATGATACACCTGCCTCTGTAATTACGACCCTGTACTTCCAGTACTAGGAGAGCAGAGCATTACGACTGAGAAGAAGGGACTGTAGACAACTTTCAAACGGCCACAACAGAGACACGGAGAAAGACTTCTGGAAGAAAACTGTGAATTAAGTGGTTGACAGGGAAGATGTAAAAACCACTCAAAAAAAGTTAACATTCTCTCTCTTTCTGCAAAACATTTTCTCTGACAAAGGTTTCATATAAACATGCTTGCAGTCAGATATGGTTGTACAACACCCTCTTCGTTTGAAGCATTGTAAGGCTTCACAAGTGAGTCAAGAGGCCCAGTATAGGGCATCATTGCAAGTGTACCATGTAATTGCTATCCTCAGTTCCAGATGGAGACTTTGGAATTATGTCATCACCCACTTGCCTTTCTTACACTGCTATCACTGATGTCAAAATGCCAAAGAAAATCTCGATTCCAGGCCTTGTTGATTATAAAAAATTCCTGTCCTACACACACACACAGTTTGTCTGAATCACGACATGAAAAACACAGAAAACAGTATGCAAGAGGCTCATTGCTTGGACTGAAAATGTTTCTGCGCCCTTTTACTGTATCAGCCCACATCTGGAGGAAAAAAAAAAAAAAGAGTGGAACCCCAAACCAAATTTAAAATACATTTGCAATACCTTACCATTTCGTATTCCACCAAAAAGGGGGCGTTTAAGACTGAAATTAAGCCTGCTAGGCATTTTTGTTTCATTGAGTGTATTTTAAAATGAGAATAGAATAGTTGTACAGTATTTTGAAGTGTCTTTCATTTCTCATTAAGGCCTAATTGATTCTATTCTACATATTTAGGCCACATAATTTTATGATTGAGATTCACAGTTTACTACCACACTGCACACACATGATGAACATGCATGGAAATGTGCTTCCTACTTTGTAAACAATGCAGACTCCCAGGCCTGCTTGTAGTGATTCATAGCCGTCAGAAGGGCAGGCTTTTTCTTAATAACATTAGCAATTGCCAGCTTGCCCTTCAGGACAAAAAGGGTGTGCCGGTGAAACAACACAAAGAGCGGATGAATGGAAGGATGAAGGAAAGAGAGGCTGATCATTGAACAGCCTTATCTGACATATTACAGGGGAAGTGGTTAAAATAAAACCTTGGAAATCTGAACTTCATAATGCACTGATTAATGAGTGCTACTGTACACCGCGAAGGTCCCACGACACAAGACAATTGCTCCAGTATGAAGCATGAAATGTAGGCTCAATTTTTATAACAAAATAGAATAGAAATATGTATAATGGGGAAAAAAAATGTCCTCAAGTCTGTCGACTTGTGATGTGAATGTGTGCCAAATCCAGTTATTAGAATGCCCCACTTGCAATGATTAAAATCTGCAATCATCACCCAGAGAAACAAACTGACACTTTCTGCATGTCAGACGCATTTCATATCAACACGCAAACACAAAAGGCTCAAAGGTGAACAACACATCTAGCAAACACAGAGGAAAAGAATGCAAAAATCTGACTTGGCTTTAGAATTTAGCAGAGAACGAGTCGGATTTGACCTAAGCTTAATTCTAATGTGGCCCGGGAAGAAAAGCGACTTAAAGGATTAGTTATGTTACTTGTCGTCTGGAGTTTAGTTTTCCATTTTCACACATTGAACTTGTTCTGTCGATTTTGGTGGTAAAGGTGCAATGTAACCATCACACATCTTATATGATTTTGCAATGGATGTTTGCACAAAGGTGAACAACACATCTAGCAAACACAGAGGAAAAGAATGCAAAAATCTGACTTGGCTTTAGAATTTAGCAGAGAACGAGTCGGATTTGACCTAAGCTTAATTCTAATGTGGCCCGGGAAGAAAAGCGACTTAAAGGATTAGTTATGTTACTTGTCGTCTGGAGTTTAGTTTTCCATTTTCACACATTTAACTTGTTCTCTCTATTTTGGTGGCAAAGGTGCACTGTAACCATCACACATCTTATATGATTTTGCAATGCATCTATGTCTTGATTGGCCTTTGTGCTCAGCAAAGCAACCTACTCTGACAAGTTGTAACAACTCAGGAAACATGCCCCCCTCCCCCCACACACAACACTCAAAGTATAGCAGTGACATCATCATAGCAACAAAATAATAGACCAGAATAATAAGATCACTGACCCAACCCTAAACCTGATCAAAATGTCCAACTTCTGAACACAGAGCTTCAAAAGAAAATGAAATTAGAATGCACTCACTACTGTCGAGTGCAGACCTCTGCCTCTTTGTCTTCGTGGTTAAAGTTACAATACATGATGAGGCAAGCGATACTGCAGTTCCAGTCCTGAAGGTGGCAATAATACACATTTCAAAGTGTGCATCTTTAGTGCTGCTGGATGTGATGCGTCTCCGGCTCATTTAGCGCCAAAACAATTAGACAATAAGAACACAAAGTCAAACATAACCTGCGAATTGGACCTATTGCTTGATCTGCAGCCAAATTAATCTGTTCTTCTACCAAGTATTAAGGAAATTGGTTTGGTATTTTTTTTTTTTGTGTTACCAACGAAATAAATAACCAACACACTAACCAATCAACAAAACACAATTAAAAACCCACTCTGTCATTTTTCTTAACCTAGGTTTGATGCAAGTAACCAGCATGTCTTAATACAAGAAGGGAGATGTTATTATTTGAATACAGAGGTCCACATCAAGCCTGGTCCACACAAAGATGAGCTGGCCGAGTTTTGTCCCAACTTCTCCCTCCCGGCACAATTCAAATCAGCAAATACCCAATTATCAGACGGTTCTAGAGATTATTCGGACAGATTATCCTGTAGTGTTTGGTGTGTTTACAGTTATCTTTATCTGCTCTAAAAATAGCCAATGCTGACAATCATACATGTTAAACAAGTAACAAGCAATTCAAATCAGCAAATACCCAATTATCAGACGGTGTTAAACAAGTTCAATATTGACCATTTTGGGCAACCACTTGACGAAATTAAATTGAGCGAATTCACCACACCATTTTTTTCAGTGCACAATAAGTAATCATTTCCAGTTCATTCAGTATTCGCCTGTGAACCTGAACAGCAATATTCGT